TGTTACGACTGCGAGCGATCTCAATACTTATGGAGTTTGTAATTTCCTAAACCTCTGAATAGGTTCTGATAACGCTCGATGATGTTTTTAGATCCTGAACCGACTTCCATCGAGACCGACATCATATCATCTCGGTGTCTCTGACAACATAGGCCACAGATCAACCATGGAGGACAGTTATGGCTTTGTATATGATTTCGACTCAATTTGTGGCCAAGGGCTTTTTGCAATTTTCGATGGGCATGGTAACAAACTCGCTGCTGAGTGGGCTGGTGGCGAATTCCACAAGGTAAAGTCTGTGCCTGTTACAAAGGTCGCATCTACAAATATCCAGATCTCCCCTAATATTCGTATGTATTTTTCCATAGCACCTCCTCCAGCAAATCCATGAACAACCAAACGCGCCTATCAACCCAGACATCATGAATTCCATGTTCAAATCGATGGACGACGAGCTCTCCGCACAATCTGTAAAATCTGCAAATTGGGCAGCATCAGGATGCACAGCTGCCATTGCCTTCCTGAGAATTGAGGACCCCGATGGCTTTCAATCCTTTGCACCTCCTTCATCTCCAGATTTTTTGGAATATTATAAACCCAATACTACTCCTAAACCAGATACCTCTCCACCAAAGATCCCTGTTGTTAGCCCGCCCAGCTCGGCTCAGCGTGTGTTATATTGCGCTAACGCCGGGGACACTCGCATTGTGCTATCCAGAGGGGGCAAGGCCGAGCGTTTAACATACGACCATAAGGTCTCTGATAAGCCCGAATTCAATCGAGTGAGAGGACTCAAAGGCGTTTTCTGGCGAGGGCGTATACTTGGCCAATTGAATGTGACGCGAAGTCTTGGAGACCACGAATCTCAACAAGGATATTCGATCAAGAAATTCGTCATTGGGACGCCGTACTTGACCAGAACGGAGCTCACTGACACCGATGAATTCTTCATTATAGCTTGTGATGGGGTTAGTGCATTTGCATAAGCTACACCGTCCAGATCATTGACACCTTTCTCATCAGCTCTGGGATGTAGTCGAAGATCAGGAAGCAATTGATCTTATCCGAAACGTCCATGACCCCCAAGTCGCAAGCAAGATGCTTCTCGATCTAGCTCTTCAGAATGAGACCCGTGATAATGTAACTGTACTTGTAGTGCGTTTGAATTTTGCAAGGGGGACATAGTTGTTAGACCGATTCTGCTAGTTTCCATGTCATTTGCATCTGTGTTATATTATTTCGGCCCGGTGCGAGAAAGTTGCTCTGGCACTCAAGGCCACCATGTAATCACCCATCTATCCCTTTTGTTCCTTGCCTGACAGCTTTTGGGTTATTAGCTTGATGTATACTATTAATTTTGACCATGATTGCAGCTCGTTTTACACTGTGGCGCTACGTCCGATATGAGTAACGACCACGAATTTTTGACGTTTGGACGATAAATGAAAAGTCAAAGAATGGATAGATGGATCATCAAGCATTTACACTAGTACACCAATAGATGGACATTCTGCAGTCCTATGTACTGATGTGGATCTCTTTTACGAGTATCACAAGTACGAGAAATGCAACGGTGATCCCATAGTCCGCAGGCTCACAACAGTAGGATAATGTACATATACAGATAATGATCACGAATTATCTATCCCCCACATGACAAGTATCCATCTACTAATATGAATCGTGGACCCAAGTTGATCAGTTACACTAATCCACACAAGCCACGGCCGAGTATGTGGGACGACCGACTTACCCCTTGGTATGCACCCCGGGACCACCTTTGGAGCCCATTGTTAAGGCCTTCAGAGGGGTGGCTTGAATTCCAGAATCGCGATTTCGTCGTATCAGCGATTGTCACAAGTATGCAGATCCCCTCTACCATCTGTTTTGTAGCCTTCTTGGTCGCTCTCTCGCACGTACTTACCTCCTGAGTAGCAACTCAAATCTGTGAGCTTATAAGGCCTGTCATATAGCTTTCCCATTACCCGTCATCTAACTCTAATGGAATTGGATTGATAAGCCAGATAGGAGGCCGCTTCACGCTCACATGTGCGTAGGTACACATACTTTGGTGAACTTAGCTGTGTTCTGAATTGAATGCGACTAAATATGATGGCACAACGTAAGTGCACTCCTTTGATGATGCATAACGCTCACCGAGTTTATCGTATATCCTAGGGCGCGAGGTCAGGTGCTAAGTAGTAATAGTGGTGAAGATTGCCGTAAAGAAGTCCGAAGGCAGTGCTTGAGGCCCAAAATTGCATTCTTCGACGCGGTCGGTTAGACAGTGGAAAAGCTTATTGCGAATCGTATGACTTCGAACTTGAAGCTAATGGTGTCACTCCGGCGCCTAGGCGTCTCCAGAATGACTCGGTTTGTGTACTTCGTTTCAAGAAGCTTTTCCTCTTCGAGGTTTTCGAAGTAGATGCTTAGAGCAACTATTCCGTGAAATCAAGTGCCAATATAAGAATCTTAGTCAGGTGACCAACACAAATGAGACCCACTAGATGCCTACAGTGGTATGAAGAATGTTCAGCCTGTAAGTATGCACCCGTTAGCTAGGAGGATATGACAGGAGAACAGTCTTTCTGGGTGTCCAGCATTGAATTTGGCGAAGCCTCATGCTGTCAAAGTCGTGAGGGAGTTGGTTTACCCATCAATCCGAAACCATAGAGACTGTCGAAAAGCGCTCCACAATTATGGGTAAAATTGATCCTGACAGTGGCCATTGCAGGATAAAGTAAAGGTGTGAAAGGAATAGAAGTGCGTGGCAGAGCCGTGAGCGGGTCAGTTGCGAGGGCCAGAACCAGGCTCGAAAACAATTGCGGTGTTTCCTAACTGGGATAGATTTTGTGGGCCAAAGCTGCTTTCCGCTCCCGTTTAAACAACAACGACCACTTCTGCCAATTGTCCTTCTCGTCTCTCCTCCTCTCCCCCTGCATTTCCCCCACAAGGTGAGCATGTTCTGGTTTCCGTGTTATATGACGCACGATCGCTAATGAAACCTCACTAAAGTAGTTACATTACACATCTTCATCCACATATCGAATCACAGCCTCCGCCCCACTCATCGGAATTGTACGTCCTGTATATATATAGTTCATAGTAAACGGAACGACTGTTAGTTTCTAACCCGAATATGTAGGATCGAATCATATCACGCTACCCCTTACCCCAATACCATGCAACCCCGATTCAGCGATTCTCCCAATGCGCGCTCAAAATCTATTACCAGCGTGGAGCTGGATACATATGGAGTACGTTCTACATTTATCACTCACGCGAACCTACTCATTTATCGAGCTCTTGCGCATTTCAGGTCCTCAACCGACATGCGACGAAGAATACGGCGTATCAAGTCGGTGTGACGGAAGACAAAGGGACGCGGAGAACGATGGAAGACGCTCACTCGTTCGTGGTCGATTTTGATGCTGTACGAGGGCAAGGTTTCTTTGCTGTATTCGATGGACATGCCGGAAAGCATGCCGCAGAATGGTGTGGAAACCACTTTCATGAGGTGCGTTCACGTCATTGCGCTCTCATTGGCCAGGATGATCTAACTTATACAACAGTACCTCCTGGCCTCACTCCATGCTTCGCCAAATATGCCCGTACCCGATGTCTATAACGAGACCTTCCATAAGGTCGACGGGTTCCTTTCACGGATGTGCAAGGAGTCAGAAGGCAAGATCCATTCCGGCTGCACCGCAGTAACCGCCTTTCTTCGCATAGAAGACGCCGACGGGCACCAATCCTTCATTAGCGCCCCTCCGTCCTCGCCTGAGTCTGACTCACCCATATCTGGCCATAACAATGATCTCGATAGCGCCCACAGCAGTGGCGCAGAGAGCACCGGCAGTCTCGGTGAGGAACACAGGAAAAAGAAGAAGAAATCTTTGGGCAGTAGTCGTATCAAGAAAGCGTTAAAGAGCCTTACCGGCAGCATATCAGGTTCCATCTCTTCTCCCTCAACACCTCGCTCCGGATCACCCACGTCATCACGGAAAGACCTCACGATCGGTACGACCGTCACCGTGCCACCCTCTGATTTAAGACGTGTATTGTACACTGCCAATGCAGGCGACGCACGTGCAGTATTATGCCGTGCTGGAAGAGCAGTGCGCTTATCATACGATCACAAGGGCTCGGATAAACAAGAAGCAAAACGAATAACGGACGCTGGTGGATTCGTTTTGAGTGGGCGGGTGAACGGTGTTCTTGCTGTGACGCGGAGTCTAGGTGATTCCTCTATGAAGGAATTTGTTGTTGGCTCGCCGTATACTACCGAGACGGAGCTTTGTGATGAGGACGAGTTTCTAGTTTTGGCTTGCGATGGGGTGAGCATCATTACAATAAATCATACGGAACGCATCTTTAACATTGATACAACGCCACCAGTTATGGGATGTCACCAATGACCAAAGTGCTATCGACCTCGTGCGCGAAATTCCTGATCCCCAGGCAGCGAGTGCAAAACTCCTCAAGTATGCATTGTCGCATCATACTTCGGACAACGTCACAGTTCTCGTTGTCCGATTCAAGCATGTTTCCTCGCAGACTGCATAGCCAGCAGCGGTGGCAGAGAATTCGTGATGGCATACGGAATGTTACGCCATATTCTTTTCTGGGTTCTTTACGCCCTTCTTGGTTACTCTCTTCCTTTGTAGTTTCCTAGCTTTACACCTGTCCTCTTCTTCGACATCACTCGATGTAATGAGTATGTCGTTGCATTGTAATTACTCCCATATTCTGCACTCTATATATCCTCGGTCATGAATATCATTACCTGCATTTTTTTCTATGAAGCATCATCCACTCGGGACGCAAAGGAAAATAATGTTTCTGCCCTTGCACCAGACAGCACAAGACCATGATGTCAATGGGGCAGATGACCTGCGTATGACCTGCCAGAGCGTCACTGAAGGCAAACTCAGATCCGGTTTTCGCGGGTCTGCTCACGCCACACTTAAAGTAAAATTATTATTAAAAAATAATGTACATGTCCCAGGGAGGATTCGAACTTCCGGCTTCTCGGAGCCCAACCACAACGAGATGATTTGACCACTAATCGACTAGGACGACATATTTCTATCCAGGGAGGATTCTATCATGTGCAAGGCTTGGCGCTTAGCGTCCATATCATCCACGAGCCTTCGTCGTGTATTACACTAAAATAATTAAAAAAAAAGGTCGACTAATGTTAAAAAAAAGGTCGACTAATGTTAAAAAAAAGGTCGACTAATGTATGTTCGCCATGTGTCATAGTCCAAATTTCCGATGATCGTCTTGGAGACACCAATCAGCGCAGGCAGCTGTTCAGACCCGAGGCACACCAGCTGTGACATGAGGGTATCTTTCTGCAATGAGCTGGAAGAAGGAAGAATCAGCATACAAAATGTTTCTCAAGTGTGATCCGGCATGAAACTCACGCCGAAGAGCTGTGGCGCCCGAATAGCCAGTACCTGTGGGTCTTCACCGAGGCCAACGAATCTAAATCAAGTAGCATTGTCAGTAAGAGCCTTTCGCTGATCGTTGATTGAGGCTTACATTGTTGAGACGCCGGCTTCGATGGCGGAAGACAGGGTCAAGGCTGGGGTCGACGAGATAGTTAGCAAGAGAAAGGACTTCTAGGAAAATTTCCATACAGCATAGTGTAGCAATTAAGAACGCAAAGAGTAGGATTGGCGCAGTGTAATTTCCATCCGCATTATAAGAAGGGGCAGTGACTGGTAACTCGGCAGGTTTAGCGAGATTTCAGGATTACTAAGATAAACCGTGCAACTGACAACGCAGATAGAGGTAGGCAAATAGCGAGCACGTTATGCCGACAGCATATGCTCCCCATGTCAAGGCTGTGAGGGGAGGAAAAGGTAGGTTTCCCGAAGACCTAGTATCAAGAGGCGCACATACTCATTCCAACAAGAGAGTCATTGACGAGGGCGTCAATGCCTTGTCGAACAACGATTAGGAATTCTATGAAAGACGTGGTGATTAATGACGAGCTCACCTCGGTCCTTAAAAAGCCTCCAAGTGTCCTTCGCTGCAGGGATATATGGCTTGCCATAGAGTGCTGTAGGGATGTCGATGAGGCTCACCAAGCATACGGTAAGTGAACAAACCAATCTCGATGTACGCATATCTAGATTATATGCATCATGAATTCCGTCACACATCTCGAAAGGAGCATTTTACCTATTAAACCACTCCACCAAGCTCTCGATGCAGCCAATGAAGCATGCTGCGCAGCATGCTAGACAAGCCTCAACAGCTGAATAAAAACATATTAACATTCAGAACATTGAAGTAGAAGCACACTTACGATGACCATCAGCATTAGCATTATTACGTATCATGTTCAGGAGCATCTTGAGGAGCTCGAGGAGTGTGACGATCAATGATCCAAAGGCAATCGATCCCAAAGACAAGGTCGACGCCCTTCCAAAAGCAGAGGTGGTAGGATGCTTCGGCTGTGGGTAAGGTTAATGCCACCAGTAAGGATTGCGTCCCTGGTCCCAAAAACCGTGACATACCATCTCTCCCATCTCGCGCGGTCCAAAGTAGTACCATGCCCCAAAGGGCCCACCTGCAAGCGTGGCAATAGAAACGTTTTTGACGACTTGAGAAGTCCAAAGGAAAGAAAAGGTCTCATAGAAGATCAGGCCAGCGACTGTGCCAGATGAGCAGCTAGTAGTTGCACAATCTTTGATGAATGTCATATTGAATTGCCAGCAAATAGAGAACTAGCTACTCACTCGGGTTGCCTGGCGTATATTTGTTATATCTGTTTCGCGTTCATCCCATCGGCCAACTGATATTATGAGAAAAAAGGAAGACTTACGTGGCAATCGTGGTGAATACGTACCACCTTGATTTCAGGAATGAAAGAAGGTATACATGCAAAGTTAATTATGTCACTTACACGGCCAAGGCTGCTTGCAACAAAAGTGCAACGAACGCGACGAGGTAGACACTCTTGTGGTGCTTTGCCACATCCATCACAACTTGAAGTAAAAGTGATGCCAGCGGTATGCGAGACCTGAAGCCAAAATAGGAGAAGATCGCGAGGAGAGCTATCACCGTAAAGATGATTGCGCCAGCTTTGAGTAAAACAAGTAATCGTAAGACGAAAACTTTCAGAAGTAAGAACGGAAAACGAACACCAGTATCTCGTAATCCAATAGTAAACACAGATCCCACTGAGAAGAGCATTATCAATACTGCATTGGGTCTGAAGGAGCGTGATATTACGTACATGTTCAATAGAATTGTTAACACAAGCGTGATGTGCATGATCGTCCGCGTAAACGCACGGGTGAGCATAAGGTAGAACGTGGAAAGCAGCAGCGCTGCTGCTGTAACCAGTAGTAGCAGGTAAACGGTACTCCTGGATGCAAGTTATGGAAAATTATGATTCAAAAGCAGTTTTACTCACCGGTTGACCGTAACGGCCGTACCAGACTGGCCGCCCGACTTTCCGAGTCCACCCCCGAAACCATTGGAAGATGACCAAGAGTTCAGCACAATGCCAGATAGTGCTGCATACCCAAGGAGCTGATTGGAATTGTCAAACGCGTCGGTCTCTTAGGTACAATATAGGAATGTCACAGAAGACCACGTACTTGTAGCACAAAAAAGATGAGGAATAGAGGATCGTTGATTGTGCGTTTCGGCTTGAACCTATCGCCCTCGTACGGCGATTTCTGGTCATAAGCTGGAGGCTGCTCAGGGAATCCCCCGTAACCTCCTCCATAGTTGGGCGTGGGCCCCGGATAGGGCTTGGATTGAACTTGTTCCATGACGTTCTAAAGGAAAGGGTTTCAAAAAAATCGCGAAGGGGTCCACACTTAAAAAGGGCGAAATAAGGGGTCAAAGAGAAGCGAGAATGAAGGATGCGTTCGGCAACTTCAACGTGTTCCATTCACGACGTTGATGGCGGTGACGTATTTTGAATGATCCGATAGTTCGATCCGACGTATCTTGGTTCTCGAACCCCTGGCCGTTTGTGAGTCCTTTTTTCTTAGCAAAGCGGTCTTTCTCACGTGTATCATATGACAGTAAGCAATTTGAGTGGATGATGAAGTCCCTGTCGATTAGTGGTTAAATCATCTCGTTGTGGGAGTGCTCCGAGAAGCCGGAAGTTCGAATCCTCCTAGGGACAATCTCTTTTATTTTTCGCAGCCGAAAGTTCTGGTGTTGATCTCGGCAATTGTCACAAGACTGCGCCACAACTTTAAAGCCTCCTAAACTCCGTACAAACTTATGCGATCTTCACTCTATCTTTGATGACAAGATCCTTTAAGCGACGTTTATGCTCCGCTCGGCGAAGCGCGTAGAACACTGTAATCGGCGAACAGCAAAAACATCTCTTATCTTTGTTGAAGGGCCGCATCTCGGACGAAGCGATATACCTGCTATCTACCTGTGGAGTACGTGTATAGTTACTATATATATATATAATCCGTGTCACGAGCTCATAGACGAATCAAGTGATGTCACATCTGTCAGTAACATGACACGAAGTGCTATTTGAACTTGTCGAGGCTTTCTTTCAACAATTCCTGCTCCTCCGCGATGCGCAAGACATCCTACGTTTTGACCTTCTTTGTAGTGGCTATTACGCTTCTACTAGTAAGCCATGAAACTCTTCATTGACTAGCCGCTTTGAAAAGGAGCTAAATTTGTGGCGTTTTGCAGAATGTCTTCTCCATTACTCACCCAGATTGGTCAGTTTAGCCCAGATACAATATCTGCGCTCCTGGTGACCAAGACGATGATAGGCTCATCGTTCAAACACCTGAGGTCCTCGGCACAAGGTTCACCATCACCTACGGTCTTTCAAAACGCTGCGAGAGTCAGGTCACTCGAATCCCGGGGAATGATCATTCAAAGTTCGAATACAGCGACTACCAATGCAGAAGCTTTCCCAAGAAGGTCTCTGACGGCTGTGAAGAAGAGAATGCCGGGTTCTGTGCGGCATGGACGAGTGCACGATACTTTGTGGAGCTTGCAGCATGGTCTGCTGCGGCATCACTCTGTGCGATAGCATTTGGTGTCAGCACGCATTCCCGCAGAAGGAGAATCTGGAGAGTAGCCGCGGGGTTAATACTGCTTCAAGGTATGTACGTGTCTCAACTAACTTTGATCGAAGCCTAACTCGTCAGCGATTCTAGCTGTATTCCAGATCGCTACTTTTGGGGTAATTACAGACTTGTATAGCAATTCGCAGTTCCCGACTTTCGAGAACGCACGCTTGGGTAAGCTCAAAGAAGACTTTTTTGTTGTCACACTAGATAAGCAAGTTCTAGGTCCTGCATACATCTTCAACATCGTTTCTTGGATCTTTGGTATCTTCAACGGCATCGCAGTCATAACTACTGGAGTCTCTGCAGACCAGGGCCATAAGTGGGCAGCTGGAAACAGAGCTTACAGGCGCATTCCGAATGTGTAGGCCCGATTTTGACGAATTTGTCTTCATCTTTTCGTTGTCTTCGTCAAGGCACTCATTTCGTTCCCGTAGTAGTACACGTATTCAGATCCATAGCACACTCACTATACGCGCACATGATATTGCATGCCCACCTTATCGTACACTTTCCATATACGTTCCAACCCTATTCTACTTTCGTACAGTGCGAATGATGCTCCATGTCTCCTTAGAGATACTAGACAGATTCGAGGACATCGGGCCCTCCTCTCGGATATATATACATCAATCCGAGCATGATGACTTCTATGTGATAAACATTTGCAACAAAGTACTATTAAATCGAGGATCGAGGGTGGGTATTGATGTAAATTTCTAACGATCGAAGTATATCTGTGTGACTCCGTACCAGTGCCATTCGGCAAAATCCAGGCTGAAATCTGTGAGGCTCTTCTATAGGCATGAATCGGTCTAACAGAGCGTCCACAGAAACTATTGGACACTTTCACCTGGTATATACTGGCAAAAATTTGGCTTCTAGGTAGGGCGGACTTCCGCCTTCTCTTGTTGCTTGAGCCAGTGTCTGACATTTTCCTTTCGTCGATACCATTGTATCAATGGTAGAGTGATGCATGAAACGACGATCCACACGAAG